TGCAGTGGAGTATGTGAAAAAAGAAACTGGCCCTTGATGTTAATGCCAAAGCTGTGATATTAACGCTGGTCCGCTCTGCCATTCCAGTTTTATGCTGGTGCAGCTCAGCTAAATTAAACTGAATTGCTCCACTGGATTTTCATCGACTTAAATCAATTATACTAGCATGGAAGAGGTATAAAGGAGTGAAAATCAAGGCCACTTAAAGAAAAAGCACAGTAGATATTTCTTCAGTACATGAACTGTTCATAATCCAATGGATATCTTTTATCCTGTGTATTGATCTTCTTCTCATGAGAATTAACTTGGAGTTAATTTCTGAATTGCCTGACCTCAAGCAGTTAAGCTATTGCAATATAAAAAGTCATAATTCACTTAATAAACCAATAGCTGTCACAATATTTGGCTTCTGTACTAGCACGTCACACTTCCTTACGTGACCGGGATCGCAGTGCGCAGAGAGCAAAGCCTTGGCGGAGCCTCTGCCCCGTGGCTCAGGGTGCAGCACAAGTGCCCAGTACCAAAACGCAGGAATCTCACATGCACTATTATCTCGTAACAAGTTCCCAAACCAGTCCAGTTTCATCGGGAATTTGGGGCAGATAAAAAAGATGTCCACCCATAAGAAGAATCAATAAAGGAAAGGGGCGGTTGCTGGAAATGTAAAGAGAGAAGCGTGACTCTTTTCCAGCTGCCAGTGCTGATATTAGTGCGTCTAGCAGCAGCTTGTACACAGCATCCCTTTACAATGGTAGTGGGGAAGCTGGAATGTTGTTCTATCAGACTATCAAGTTGTTGTGTTGGATTACATATAATGCTATCACAAATGACAGAATGCTTGCCTCCCATCAAAAATTTAAAGAGCAATAGACCTCTTTTCAGCTGTCATTGCTGATAACATTTTATGCATGAGTTTATTCAAGCTCAAATAGAGATGCAGCCTGTCAATAAAGAAGCCCTGGTGGATTAGGCATCGAGTATATTAAAGCTAACGCTACTAATGTGGCTATGCAGAATAATCTGACATTTTAAAACTGCGACAAAATGAACCCTCCAAGTTCTCGTTGATCGTCTCACCAAGGCGTGTTTGCTGCTGGGTTTTATGGAGTGGAAAGCAGAGTATGGCACTATGTAACGAGAGCACAAGGAATGAAACAAGCTGGAAACCGCAGGAAGGTCAGCGCGGGCTCACCCCCCAGGAAACCGGGTGGATGCTGCCCGTCTTCTTGTGCTTATCTTGTCTGCTCTGCTCCTTTCTTCCAGGGAAGTGGTAGGGCAACAAATAATGGCCTTAAATTGCCACAAAGGTGACCCAGATTACACATTAGGGAAAGTGCTCTGAGGGCACGAAGAGTTCAGCACCGGAGGAGATTGCTGGGGAGGGCGTAAACCATCATCACAGCTCTTTAACAACAGGTTAGGAAAACATCTGCCAGCAACAAGAAGGGGTAGCTGATTTTGCTTTGGAGACCCAACACTATTTTCTGCCATTCACTTTCTAGCTCTCAATAATGTCTATTGCTTTCTTCTTCCAGCAGAAAGTGTATAGCAGTGCTTGTGTGTTGGTAAACTGCCTGGGCTAAAAATAGTTTATTGAAAACTATAATGACCTGTGGTGTTACAACAGATGGTCTGGTTACACGTTCCTTTATCCCTTCCTATGCCCATAAGAGGTGTCAGTGGCTCTTGGAGTGCTTTTGAGAGATGCAAAGTCAGGAGAAAATCTTTACCAGATCTGAGCATCCAAAACCTGGGGTCTGTTTTTGTAACAGGCCAGTGGCCCCTTCACACTGCTCTTGGTGATAAAGCACAAGCCTCCACAGTTTTTATGGTTTTATATAGTTAATTAGCTTTAAAAAAAAATAATCTGCACACACTGCCTTCCAATGGGAGAGAAGCAGAGGATGTGCTGCTGTGAAAGGCTTGAGCCTGGCTGCGTGGGGTGTGCTGTGTTCAGTGCCACACGGGGTGCATGCACGTAGCTATGGGGGTATCTGCAGCATCACCGAAAGAATCGGACTCTGGGAGAACACCAAATCCAGACGAGTGACTGATCACCGCAAGCAGGGAATCCCAAAGGTGTGCATCCCTGCAGCAGAGGGGAAGAAGTGCTTGACAATATTAACGTAATGCTTACAAAGATTAAAGGCAGCTCAAGGACAGTAATTGAAAGAAAAAATGGATTCCCCTGCTATGTTGCACATAAGCAAAAGATAAGGACCCCCCAAAAGGGCTAAATACCTTCCTTAAAGGTACCTAAGAGACATCAGGATATAGAGTCTTCATTGCACCTTTAGAAATGAGCACAAACATTTCCGTGTGGTTGTGTCCTGTATAACCGCAGTGCTCTCAGACCTGGCTGCACGGCGGAGGGCTGCACGCCTGGTACCTGCTGCTGCCTCCAGACAAACCTTCCTCACCACACCAGCTGCCTCGAACCTTGGGAGTTACAAGTGTGAAGGATAAGTCCCCAGTATGCTCGGATGACATTATGCTGAAAAAAAAAATCTACGTGTATTCAATAATAGCTATTGCTATAGTGGAACAAAGTGTTTGGTTTCTGTAACCGTCCTCTCTGCGTATTTCTTTGGTTATTCTGAGTCTGTATTCTAGGGAAAAAAATACTTTGAAAAATAATGACAATGTCTCTCAGAAAATAATGAGTTCCTTCCAGTTAGCTGTTGAATTGTTTACTGCCATAGCTGAATAATAACAGCACATCAAAGACGACTGCTGTAATTAAAAGATTTGTGAACATAGGTTAACAAATTAGTGCATCATAATGTGTAATTGTCTAATTAGGACAAAAATGCTAGTTCCACCTAAAAGACTGACAAGAAGAGATTATGAGAGAGAAAATAAAATAGACAACAGCATCGATACTGCTGAACATTGGCAAAGATGTTATCTGCAACTTTGTATTTTATCAATAAGTCCCCAGGGGTACCAGCATTTTTGTGGATTAATTTACAGACAAATTAATTCTGCTGGATGAATCCCAGGAGCAGGTTGAGGAGTCCCCTGAAAAGAGATCTAAATTTGTCAAGGAATGTTTTAAAGCACTTCTCACCACGGTAGTGTTGAGAAGAGCTGAGAGCAGCAGATGCTGTTGCTGAGCACACCGTGAGAGCTCAGGAACCAGGTGCAGTGAAAGGAAAGGTGTGACAGTCCCAGTTTGACTGGTGGGGCATGGAGGCAGAATGGGAGAAATCCTGATGTTAGGTCAAAGCTAAAGGCAAACGTCCTGTGTGTAATGAATGGGGTGAGAATTTCATTTGGAGAGATGAAGGCCAGCATTTTCCTGCGCTGAGGGACAGATGGCAGAAGGAGTTTGGCTCCAATTCAGGTACCAGATGAAACTCCCATGGTTTCAAGAGGCTTCAGCACATAGATGCTGAGCTCTCCAGCCAGCTCAGCCCTCACATCAGCATGGGCAGGGCTGGCTGCTGAGCTCTCCTAAGGAGCTGAACCTCTGGGAACCAGCCATCCGGGCAAAACAAACAAACCCCGGGTCTCCCTGTACACTTTGCTGATGGTGGCAGAGCACAGGGCAAAGCCAGATGCTGAGTGCTCCCATCCAGTGGCTTCAGGTAACCAAGGGAAAGGACCAGTGCATGATCCCTGGTGCACAGGTAAGGGATTGACAGCCTGGAGTACACCCAGGGGAGGATCCGATGGATCCAGACATAGGATGGCACCACCACAGGGCTCCTCAGATGAGCCAGGGCCATGCAGGAATGCAAATCATGGAGCATGCAGAGAAATGTGTGCTGCCATCTGAGAGCAAATGCTGCCCAGCGACTTGAGGAAGTGCATGAGAGGGCAAAAAACCTGGAGCAGTGTCTGCCCCATGTGGACTTCAGGTGCAACTTGAGTCACAGTGGAGGGAAAAGAGAAGGTGCTGGAAAGGGGGTAGAAAAGCAACAGCCACGGATCTTGTTTGCGCAGTGATGACACTGCAAGCCTCCGCTCTATCTTCAGGAAAGAACAGGCAGACAACTCTGGCAGGAGTTAATGGGAGGGTTTGAGAGCACCGTCTCCAGCATTACACCTCCTCTACCTAATGCACCTGATGAGCTTCTCCAGCTCGTCGCCGTGGCTGGCTGCCTCCTGTTTCTCTGGTAGCTGCCAGTGAGAGCAAGACCATACAACACCCTCTGAAGCTTTGCCTCAAATAGGGCTCTTCCTGCTGTCTTCTTGCTGATACCTTCTCTGCTCCAGGCTTGGTTTTAAAGGAGGTGGGGTATCTCTCACCCTTGTGCAGGATGGGGTTAGAAAGCCTCACCTGTGAGCAGGAGGGTGCTGAGCATCAGGAGCTCTGCAGAGGGTCCTGCAGCTGCTCCTGGCATCTGTCAGAGCAGCAAAGCTCCTTCGTGCTCATTTTCAAGGTGTGTTTGTGTTGAAGCCAGTGATGTTTAGCAAATAAACATATTAATAATCAAGGATTTAATAAGTGTTGTGTTTATGCCTCTTTGTATTTGTGTATATGTATGAGCTGTAATATGTTTTGTTATGCTCTGAGAAAACCAATTCTAGATTGCTGGTAAGGTATTTTCTGCAAAGCTATCTTAAATTGAAAAACACACCTTTCCGAGGAAATGAACATTTTTGTGAGTTTTCCTCTTTCCACCAGTGACACCCCAGTGGGATAAGGAGTGTGGAACATGCAGATTTGTCAGAAGCCATACAGCTTTGTGTTGCCTCAATAGGGCTTTTTTGTTCCCTCTTGATTTGGGAAATAGTTGTTAATCACTGCTTAATTTTAATTTTAAATGGGTTATATTCATAGGACACGATTCCATAGGAAAGAAAAACATAGCAATTGAACTTTGAAACAGTTTTGTGCAACAATTGAAACCATAGCAATAAACACAAACACATGAGTGTTTACAAGATCAGAGCCTTAAAAAACTAATGAGCAATAAATAAATTAGAACTCTAATTATCTGCCTAAATTCAGATCTGGTGGAGGAAGAAACCCATTGACTCATGGGATTTTTCTTCTGGTTAGCCTTGTGCATGGAGCTCAGCATCTGCTAAAACCCATCTCAGTTGCTAAATTAATTGCTGCTGCTGCTCCTCTGAACCTAGCACCCTTCAGGTGCAGCCTCTGTCTGCACAGAGTGCAGGTAGGTGCTGGGGTTGCAGGCACCGTGTGTGCCCAGCTGAGCGCTCTGCGGTGTTTGCAAATGCTCCTGTCTTAATCTGGTGGAATAATGTTTGTTTATGTCCTCCCTGATGTGAGGAGTTAATTCCTTTGTGAGCTGCTTCTGGTGTGCTGGTAAACAAGGAAACTTGCAAAGTAAATTCACAAGGCAAGGAAGTTTGACTTTGGTTCTGGCTCTTTTTATTCTTCTTATTTTTTTTTTTTTTTGGCCATATGCTACCTATTAAAGGTGATTTATCTTTTTTTTTTCTTTTTTTTTTTTTTTTTCTTCAGCTTTTATAACGTTTCAAGGAAACTCCTCAGTGAAGCAGTTGGAGAACACAGTACAAGTATTAATACAAATCAAATTCCTGTAAGCTTAGTGACTGCTTAGACAAAAACCCACAACTGGTAGTATATGATTCATCAAGTCTTTGTAAGCATACACACATCCCAAAGAAAGAGTTCTACTTAGCAAAAATCCTTTAATAAATTAGAGAAGCTGAAGACACATAAACAACACAAAGCCCTTCAGTTTGTATCATGCTGTGGTTTAGATAACCTTTACTATAATACACTATAAATCAGAGGATCCCACAATCCTTGTGTGTCTTTGCAAATACCAGAGCAGACTTTTGAAGCTATGGGCCAAGGCTAACCAGACATGATGAAGAAACTGAGGTGCTGCTGGTTTTGTGGAAACGAGGGAAACTAAAGGAGAGAGAGCCCCTGTTATAAGTCACCCCTTCCAGGTATTGGAAAATCCACCCAGGAAAGAAATGTGGGAAATCCTCTTTCATTAGTTCTGCTGCTCAAGCTTCTGGGTTTTCTATATAGGTCAAAGCTCCTCCTCTAATCTAGAAGTGGATTCCTAAATGTTTCTTTAGGCTGGAGCTGAGGGGAGGGGGGGGAAGTGCTGTCTGACCAAGGCCCTTCATAATTTGGGGGAAAACTTGGCACAGAAATCTCTGCCTCGAATGTGTGACCTGATTTCCAGCGGGTTTGTGAGCCCATATGTTTTGATGGGTGCTTAGTACTTTTGGTGCCTTTCAATTTCTAAATATGGACTTGGGAGCCTAATTTTAACCACGTACTTTTGGAAAATGTTGGCAATAGTTTAAAGAGACTGTCTAGACCAGCACGCCTTGCTGCAGCAGATTGCTCCGAGTGATTTATATATTCCTGGTGCTCGCCGCCTCTGATGCCTTTTCAGTGTCTTACAGCTGTTGCATTTATGCAGCACTCTTTATCTTGACCTTAGCCCTCGGATTTCTCAGCTATTCTACTCTCTTAACATCTGGGCCTGAAAGGTCACTAATTTACCTTATGCTTCCCTGCTGTGGGTGCCGTTGGGTTGAGTGGGTACATTTTGAAAAATAACACTCTGTTGGTGGGCTGCCTTTGCAGAGGTCTCTCTCCCCTCGGTATCATTGTGTTACCTTCTCCCACTGCAGCAGCTCGAAGTCATCAAACATCTGCCCTCAAGAGCATTGGAGTGTACTTGTTGGCTCCTTATGTGTTAAAGCAGCACACCAGGTATCCAGTGTGCTGGTATTAAATTGCTTTTGCAGCTTGCCTGGAGAATAGGGAAGGGAGCTTTATTTGTACTAACACCCTTTTAATGCATCTCAAAAGACCATAATAAACATCTCCTGGCCTGTAAAAGGAAAATATATATCTAGAGGTTGTGGTAAATTATGAAATACTGGCATACCTAATAAAAATTCTATCTCAATCGTTTAACATTTAGTGAAATGTTAGATGATGTGAAACCAGGCCTGGCGTCATTTCAAGACCAGGTCAGTAGTGTCACTTGGGGAAATTATGAGAACTTCCATTAACTTTGTATTGGCAGATCTCCCAATCTATTTCACTTCTATACATTTTTAGCACTACCGTGAGCAACACAAAGTGTCATTTCTCACATCTGAGAGCCAGACAATGTCATGGAGCCTCTCTGCATACAGGAGGCTACTTCAGAAATTAACAGGTCAGATCTCTCATTGATTTTAATAAAGAATTGTTTGTGGCAAAATTCTTGATTATAGAAACTGATGGCTGCTTTGGGCTTCCCGTCAAGGCCAGCACAGCAGGACAGAGCTTTAAAGCGTGGGAAAAGAGTGAGGGAGTATTAAATCAAACAGATCTTGGACATTGAGGACCAAATTCCGACTTGTTTTCGAGGGCGCTGAGATGCTGGTTTCACCACACCAGCCCTGAACTGGGATTCATAGACAGAAGTAAGACCCAGTGCCCCGGGAGGGAGACACTCGCAGAACTCTGAAGCTATTATCTGAGCTATTCTCTTCTCCTATTTTCCTGTAAAAAACCCTTTTCCTCCCATCCATTCCTCTTCCCAAATTTGCAGACAGACGACTTGTTTTGGAACTCGAACCAGTTTGTCTGGAAAGGACTTTCCATTGGAGCCTGAGAATTGGAGCAGACTTTAAAGTGGCTGGTAGTATTGTCAGAACAGAGGTATTTGGCAAGTCTTTAATGTCATGCTTGCCTGGAACTGCTCTCCTCTTTAATTAACTCAGTAAAAATCCTCTAGTTACTTTATTTTATTTGCTTAAACCACTACAGAAAAATAAATGCATACAAAACTGATTAATAAATCCATAGAAATGTACTGTTGTTTACTGCTATACAGCAGAGCACCGAGTTCCCGCTACATAATTCAAGCTCCAGGCAACAAAGGCAGTTGTGAAAGCCCCCTGTTTTGACACAAACGTAAAGGTGGAGTATCCCCTTGGAGTGAAACAGGCTGTATTTTGCAGCTTGTCTTCCCAAGGAAGCCTCCAGGTGCGTATTAATAATTTAGGTTCAAAACAGTGTCCAGGGTTTCTCAGGCTCGGCACCCGTGCACCTCCTCGGATGTCTGTACCACAGAGCCTGACCCATGCTGGGAATTCCCATCCCTCCAACCAGGGGGCTATGGCTGAGCCTTTAACTCTGGTTAAAGCACCAGCTCCCTGGTGCTCCAGCCCCAATGGGAACAGCTACCAAAAAGGCAATGATGGTGACCATTCAATTGCAGGCAGGTTTTCACCCCGAAGTCCCAATGAACGAGTGGTCCATGGCTACATCAGTCATATTTAAAAGCAGTAAGTGCTTGTGCTGACCGATGCTGAGGAAGTGCTCAGCAAAGCCCTCCCTGCTGCAGCAGCCCCTTGGTGGCCCTGGTGGCACCTCCAGCCCTGCCACATGCTTCCCGAGGACCATAGCGTGCCAAGGGGGAAATATTTCCTTAGTTTGCTAAACTGATGTTCTGGCATTTAGCTTTAAGTATCTCCTATTTCCCGCAGCATCTGACCTTTTGCTTTCTCATATGGCTATTGCTCGACTCCGCCAGCAGAAAGCAACCAGCAGCCATTATCAGGCTCATCTCGCCAGTGCCGGCCATTAGCGTTAATCATCTCCTCCTCCAGCCCTCCTCTCTCCTGCTCCGGCTCCCCTGCATCTCCTCTTAGCAATGAGCCACTGGCACACGATGGGAGAGAGCATGCAGAGAAATAAGCAATGATGCAGCAGCGCCGTGATAAAAGGCCGGTCATTTCAAGCCGCCAGCATGACTGCATTTCTCTCCGGTGGGATGCAAAAGAGCCAGGATTAAAGCAGGGGGCCGGGCGCCGTAGATCATCTTGCTGTAATTTCCCTCAGGACCGATGTGAGGACTGCAGCAAGACGCACTAGTGGTGGCCGTTAGTGCTGCCGTGTTGCAGGACAAGGATAGTGCTGGACATCTGTCCGGTGGTGCACGGGGGCACGCCGAGGTGTTTGGGGCCAGGGAGGTGGTGGTGCCACGGGGTGTGAAGGGAACTGTGGGCAGGAAAAGGAAGGAGGGAAGAGAGGTGAGGGGGAGGAAAATGGGAGGAGAAAAGATGCTGAAGGTAGTAGATAAGGGGGGATAAGAGAGGGAAGGAAGTTGAGTCTTAACTATAGAAAGGCACAGATGGGAGTGTGATTGAGGGGCTGGACTGGGTAGGAAGCAATGGGTCTTTATCTGGAGGTCAAGGAAAGGGAGGGAAAAAACAAAAGCTCTAAGGTAAATGCATGCTATGGAAAAATAGGGAGGTGTACGGAGAGATGGGAGCACTCTGACGTACCAACCTAGCCTCGGCCATGCAGATTTTCCATCTTGTCTTGGCCAAGAAAAGGCAAAGAGCCAAGGTCAGGAGGTGGGGGTGTTGTGACATGGCTGGAAATGACAAAGAAGAATAGGTGTGAGGGCAGCAATGGAAAACAGGTGGGGACAGCACTGTTGGAAAGCAAAAGCAATTTTATCTTGTAACCATGAGCTCACTCAAGCTTGACAGTGAGAGAAAGAAGAGGAAAAACACATTCCTGTTGTAACAATTCATATGTACGTAAATCACGCAGCAAGCATCGTGCACGTGGCTCACTGTGCCCAGGCATAGCTGCCAGCCCTCCTGCAGGCTTCTCACTAAGGCTGGGATAATTGTGGGCGATGCTGCTTGCTTCCCAGCCTTTGCCTCTCCTAACTTTGGGAGCAGTCATCTCTTGGGGCTGAACTGCCACGTCCATAGGCAAGGTGCAGGCAATCCCTCTGCACTGGCATGGGTTAAGGCTGCAGATGCCAGCGGTGCTTTGTGCGAGCCTGGCCCCAGCCAAGCTAAGGTGGCTTTGTACTTCCAGCTGTGACTGCACCACTGCGTGAAGTGCCACAGATGTGCAGCTTTCTTGGGAGATGAGGTAACGAACTCGTGTGGGAGCTAATGAAGGTCATCATGAGAGAGCAGTAAGAAAAATGTCTGCTGCTGGGAGACTTCTCACCAGGAGTGCTCAGACTTCAGCACTTTCCAGTCTAAATAAGATGTACACTTCCCTGACCTTGTCTTCTCCAATGTAAACGCAGAGCAGGATGTACTTAGAATTAAGATAAATAAGGCCTTACCCAAATAAAACACTAGTCTGCAGAAACAAATCTCCTCTAAGGAAGAGGGTGAGTGGAGGCCGAAACTGATGCTTCTCTATGGCAGAAACCTTAAATGCTTTAGAGGTGAGGGCAGTGTGCACTACAGTACTAATAAGTGCATTTTAAGGTGGAAGATGCTACCACAAAATCTTGTTGGTTTTACTATTTCCATCCTATTTTTTTTCCTTAGTATGTAATTTATTTCTGTACTACAACTTTATTTCTAAGGGCACTGTGGCTGATTTTGTGTGTGAGAGGGGGTTAAACGTGCTATAGACAAGTGCAGCTAATCTTTGAGGTAGTAGACATAAAACCAAAACATCCTGGAAAAAAAAAAATTGCTAGAAAACCATCTTGGCTGATGCCCAAGGGAAGAGAGGTCATTTTGCCCATGGTAACATTCCCAGCTCAGCCTCTTGTGACTGTGCACCCTTCTGCACCTGAAGGCAGGGATGGCGGTGGCCATGCAAGAAGACACACTTCTGTCTCTCTTCTTGGCCACTGTGGCAGAAGACAGAGGCTGATGTGCTTCTCCAAGCCTCTGGGTCTGGGCATCCCCCAACAGGCAGAGGGCTGGGGGAGGACTGGGGCTGAGCCCTAGGTTTTGAGCACGGCATGCGGGTGAGGGAGCTGAGAGCCAGCTGAGAATGGGAGAAAGCGAGGAGAAATGATTTGTATTACAAATAAGGATGTGAAAAGGGGTGGAGGAGCCCTGTCAAAATGTAAATGTGCAATTTGCATAATCGGGCAGCCAGGATTAAACGAAGCACAGAGAAGGATAAGGATTACACGGAGGGAAAGAGAAGGGAAATGAGAGCAGCACAGAGAGAAAACACTGCAGATAGATACAAAATCTGAGA